TGACATAACGAAGGACCCTCTGCGAAGGACTGCTCGATATCATTTGCAACAAAACGTAATCGACCGCCATTAATCTGGAATTCTCAACTAATGAAATCTCCGTAAAGAAAGATCCATTGATAAAAACATCTGATAATGCTGATATCATCACTAAGAACATCTCCACAGCATCATCTTTGGTAATCTGACAGTTGAATTTTTGATGGGTATTTCTTCTTGAGAAAGAGAGCAGAAGATCGACTCTTTCAATTGAAGGCGTAAACACCAACTTTCACTTAATATCATTTGTACTGCCCTGTTAGTTCTATGTCGAATTTCGTGTACAGGAAAAAAAATGGAGTGGAGAGTTAGCCGACTCACTGCAACTTTGTAAAAGAAGGAGGGAAGCCCGGGCGACTATGTGATATGCTACGACGACATATTCTATTTCAAGCTCTGTTTCAGTTCCATACTCTAACTCAGCTGAACACCGGAAAAACTTAAATTTAGCTGAACAGCGGAAAAAAACTTAAAATTTATTAACTTTGTAAAAGGGAAAAAATTCTTCAGTTCAACATTTCTCGGGATGGGGTGTTTGACACAACAAGGTGGATAGCCTGGCGTTAGCCAGCGATCCGACTTTATATGAAAAGGAGGATGCCCGGCGTAGCCGGGCATTTCATAAGAAGGAGGAGAGCCCGGCGTTAGCTGGGCGATCCGACTGGTATTATATAAAGTAGGATAATTATTATTATTGGTTACTATCATCGATTATTATGTTCATTAATTTCGACTATTATTATTAATTATTACTATCATTATTACTGATCACTATTGTTAACATTGATAATTATTATTATGGATTACTATCATAATTAATCACTGATGATTGTTACTGTTACTATTGTTAAATATTGTTAGTATTGATTATACAGTTAGTATCGATTACTATTATTTTTATTACTCTTATAATTTGCAAGGGGCGGAGGTGGTGTAGTGGCAAGTGGTGCACTATCTCACACGTACGGTCAAGGGGTCGAATCCCGGATCGATGCCCGCCTAGGCCAACCAAGCCCTCCATCCCTCCGGGGTCGGTGATTTGGTACCAGGCTCGTCTGGAAGGATAAAAGCACTGACTTGTACATCGGCTGACCACCGCAAGTCATTATACAGGCCACATACGCACCCATTAACCACTACGATTCTGAATGGAAGTCGAGTGCAGGAGCGCCTCAGACGGGATTGATTAACGCCAGAAACTTTATCTTTTATTATACTTTGCACTGTTATTGTTTTGATTTTCTCCCTGGATTAGGAAGTCTATTATCAGTGGCGTAGTTTAGAACCTTTTCATTTTCAGTGGCCAGTTGAAGAAGAACGGCGAGATTTTTTGAGGGAACCTATGAAGAAAGTCCTAACAACCACTCCTTACTATGAAGAGATCGATCCGAATCGAAATGGTCTGCTGAAGGATATCGGGTCAATAAGTAAGTTTTTTCTGAAGCTGAAGGTGAATGACTCCCCTTCTACGTTCATTCAAGTGTTTCTCGTTCAGATGTCGGATTCGGTGTTGGCGTTGGTATACCTGGTAACGACCCAGTAAAAGTTGGAGCGAGGGTGAGTTACTGTATTGATTTCGATTTCTGCTTTTCACGTTCTAGAGGAATAAGGATGAAGGGATAAGCACACCGAAATCCCCTTTCTGGGATGAGATATGCATCATACTTTCGTACAGAATCACAGTAGCAGCTGAATGGTAGCGCATTCTGAGATTAAAAAAATTGTAAAAACTACATCTACGCTCTACCTTCAGAATAGGGAGCAAAACATCCATCAAATGTCTTGACACTTTGAAAGCATTTTCACAGTGGCTTTCCTTCTCGAACTCGTCCTTTTTCAACCGTTTTCGATTCTGAGAATAGCATTTCTTGATTCAGGCCCATAGTTGAGTCACTTCAGTTCAGTCAGTGCAGCCTCACTAATTATGAGTAGATGAATTGTTTTCCAGCTAGGAGTTGGATTTGGCGAATCTGGACTTGCAGGGCAGCTCCCGATCGGACAGGATATCTATCCCAGACAGGTACGGTTGGGATTTTTCACTATGTCTCGAATCCATTTAGTATCCGATATTCAATATTTAGCAATAATATTGAAATGATATATAAATGTTGAACTCCTCTCAAACGACTGTGCAAACATTCATTCTATTCCACGTCTCTGAAAGGAGCAAGTCTTTGGCACCAGTCCCGTCTGAAGAACGAACTCACGCGATCGATTTCCATTCAGAATCGTAATAGTTCATCCTCCCAGACGAATTTGGTACCAATCACCCGACCTCCGAAGGATGGATGGCTTTGACGGTCTGGATGGATATCAACCAGGCAGTCGAACTTCCGTTAGTATGCTACTTACTACCCAAGTTACCCCTACACCATACAATGTAAGATAGAATGATGTAATACTTCGTCTAAGCGATGCCACAGGCCATTTCCTTCCAGCTTACATACCCAGGAAATTGTGTTTGTTGCCGGAGATGTTCAAACCAGTCTGGGAGATACATCGACAAGTCTCCAGCTGGGTTTCCCATTGTTAGCCTAAGTTTGAAGGGTGTCTATGTACGATTGTCAGCCCACTTGATGACGTTCATGATGAGATGTATTCGAGATGGAAACTGTCTTAACTGGGAATGATCTTGAAGATGATATTCAGGAAAGGAACACAGTAGAATGTCTCGAATGGCATATTGCTCTCCTTACATACCGAGCGTCAACCAAATCGAAAAACAAAGCTAGATGTCGCGATGAGACTACTAACTGTAATACCTGGTCCCTTGTGAACGGATCCCAACTATCGCTACGTACATAGTTCGAAGGTGACACGCAGATCACAAAGCTCAGAGTTCATGTTCTCGCAAAACCAGGCAATCATCCGTAGCCATCCCTCCGATCACACTCGTTCCGCTTCTTCTTAACCCTACCATAAGCTTATCCCTAATTCACCAACCGAAAGCAGACTTTAGTCGGATGCCTCTGGCTTTTGGGAACTGCTGTACAGTCAAGTGCTAGAGCACTATTGCTACACTGACAGCAAATAGACTGTACAGTACACCCACACGAGCAGAACACCACGTTCATTTAGCTGGTCGTGTTTGTTCAGCCTCTGATGTTATTCAATAATAACGTTCACCGTCGATGGAATTAATTCTGTTCAGATACTGTAGATTTCGTTGTTATTGCCACCTGTACACGAAAAAGAGCATTGAGGAAAAGCAGTGGAATGCGCATCAATTTGTTCGAAAAAGATAGCCTCTCGAAAAATTCTCGGTACCCATGAAATTTCTACAGGAACATTTCCTTCAGGAGGCTTTCTGTGGCTTCATGAACGAAGTGCTCATATTAAAACTGATCAAGGTTCATCATTCAACACTGAACCCTAATTGATTTGTCATACCATTAACTCGGTGATAATAATGTGCCTCTTTGAACGTTCATAGGATGGTCATAGTGAAAAGGAAGGGGTGCAAGAAAAAGAGTGGGAACCTTCTCACATTTACTTCATGAATGCAGAAACAATCGTTACCACGGCATTGTCAACCACTTGAAAAGAACGATTCGATGGAACGTCACTAACACTCCCCTAAGGTGCCACTACCGAAAAGTCATGAATGGAATGGGAAGGAGTGGGAGTATACGTAAGCTGACAGCCTATACCAGCTAACGTTACACCCTCATAACTTTGTCCATAAAGAAGTGGTATGAGAGCTGAGTGGCTCATACCTCGTGGCTTATTCTGGAGCTCAATCTGACTGGTAAATTCCATCAGAACTTGGAATTTCAGCGTATGAAAAGTACTCTTTGCATTATCTCACAGTGCCAAGCTCTGAATTCGACTTTCGACTTCGCTCGACTTTCATCTGATCACTTCATTAGAAGCTGGAGAGCGATATGTAGTAACGGTGAGCTTCGTTTCGGGATTAAGCCTACATATGCGACTCCGATTTGGAATGATGGTGAAATTTGAATCCCATTTGACGTATTCGATGGTTTACATCAGGCAGCAGATTACAAATCCACAAGTTTAAGCCCCTAAGTAGTCTTAGATTCCATTGTGGTTTGGTAATTATCAGCAAAAGTGCTTAGAGATTTTGAATATTCTTTCAAAAAGTCGTTTCATCAGCTACAACTGCTTCTGATCAATTTTTTATTCTCAAAGTCCACAGATGGAAATGGATGTTTCGATTCATGTTCAAAGGCACTGTTCACGATATTTTTGAAGCACCCTTTTTAGATTTGAAAGCGGAAGTGCTAATGTGGAGGAGTACATCGGTGGCGGAGAAAGCGAGAAAATCCGCCTTCTCGAAGGCATTTTAGGAGTAATGGAAGTGGAGGTTGTACGAGATAACCTTGACGGGAATGGCATGTAAGCGGTTTTTGGACGAGATTCAACTTGCTCCCATCGTGCAAAAAGCTGACTACATCAAGCCATAACTGTACAGAATTGCCCTTCACTGTCGCTATTGGTTACGAAAAATTGTTTGAACTCTCTACATTGGTTCCCTTGTGAATGGTGCAGCCTCTACAAAGCCGTCGAACTCGTCCATCAAGGGTGTGGCATTCACACGATATCATTTCTGGTCCCTTATTGTGTCCTATCCAGGACGGTTTTCGACCATATAGCGGCTGGTATGGTATAAGGGGGAGCCTCGAATTCGTACTATGAGAAAATCTCGCAAACCGTTTTTATCGTGAAGTGTGCCTTTAACTAGTACACTGTAAGACGAGTCTTGCATGTTGTAATTATCTGATACTCGAAGGATAACAAAGGGAACCATGGTGGAGGCTAACGAGAAGTGGTAGTTCGCCCGTGTTAGATGCGAAACGAATCACTTCCCTCTTTTCATCTTTTTTCACATCGGTCAAGTATTCATACCTGTGGCAGCGTCGTCCTTAGACTCGATCCCACCTCCACCAAAGCACAACACGCACAAACTGTTTTGGTAAGTGACCACGGCACACTACAGCCCTCCAAGAATATTATCAAATTCTGGACTTACCTTATGAAAAGAGACGAATCACAGGCGCATACGTTTATCCCATGAATATATACAGCTATCCATTTGTTTGAGAAAAATGTGTGGGCTCATGGCCCCTTCAAGGAATCCCTCTAAAGAAGGTGATTTAGCTGAAATTCGAGGAACCGGATGTTGGCTAGGAATAAGACCAACAGAACAGATGATGATCTGGTTTTTTGATGAAGAACAAAGTCAAGACCTGCAAAATATCGAGGAACTCACCCTCACCTCTGTTTGGTCCACCGCAGACGTGAAATGGTACGTAGGAAGGATCGAAAATGAGGGTTTATTCACGTACAAATGGTAAGCAGCAGACGGCAGGTAATCGCATACAGGTTACCTGCGGCACCACTACTTAGCACTTGCAAATGATCGTGAGCGGTCATGAATGCCAGTGTTCGATGGAGAAGGATTCATATGAAGCGGCTGTACAGAACAGTACAAACAGTCAGCAGTGGATTTGCCACACGAATGGATATCCGATGGGAGGGTGTGTCCCTGAACAATACCTTTTGTAATCGGTGTTTATCAAATTTTTTCTAGTGCAATTTAGGGATAGCCGTGGCAGCAGCTGTGTCACCATAATAGGTCGTCTGTTCAAAGCATTCAAATCGTACTGTACATTTCAGTATGACTAAAATGGGATTATTGACTGATTTAAGTCTCATGGTTCCACCTAGAGGGTGAATGATGAAGACCTGACGTTATACAAGTTCGTCTTCGAGAGGAGCCCAAGATTTAAGTTTCCTTCGGAGTTGTGGTTGCGTTTTCATGTGTATGTGGCCCATGCAATGACCAACCGATTTACCAAGTCTGTGCTTCTATCCTTCCAGACGGTTTGGTATCAATTGCCTGACCCCGGAGGGATAGGAGGCTCTGCTGGCCTAGAGGGTATCCTCCTGAGATTCGATTTCCGAACCATCGGTGTGATAGTAACCCACTTTGTCCATCGCGGAGTTTGTAGTGACCGCTTCACGGTGCTGCTTATGCTATTTTTGCAGAAATCGCTGAAATGGGCTGGGAAGTTCAACTCGACCAGGAAAGGTTGACAGATTTCGGTCAATACTAGGGAAGGTCAGCCTTTAAAATGTCTATGACAAAATTTTGCACCCGTTCTATAGGTCGGGTTAAGGTGACTGAAATTAAGAAGACTGAATTTGCACGGTAACTTCGAGGCTACTTTTGAAAATCTTCACAGGTAAAATGACAAAAATTCAGAAAGAACATAATTCCTTTCAGACAGTACCCCTTGGTCGCGCGGGCACGTATCGCACTAGAGGGTGAAATTTGTCATCGAAAATACGAAAAGACCATCTGATTAGTCCTTAACAGCATTCGGATAGGCCATGCTCAGGTTCCTGGCATATCGAGACCATGAAAATCATGAGGACCATGGCCGACACTAAGTCTTTCCCCATACACTTCAAGTTCAAACTAATGTACGAGTAAGACCTGACAAAGGTAGTCAGCACCGTCAACATCTCTTCGTGTGACGACTAATTGGCCTGAGGTTATGCTAACCATTCCACTACCTTTATTGGGATAATTCCCAAACATCCCAGATCTTCAAGTTGTTCGACTTCATCAAATCAAATAAACTTACAATCTCTTCGAAACTGATCCAGATGTTTTCAGGTTGAAGTGATATTAGGAATTGGTTTGGGAATGAAGACTTCATAGGATAATACCCAAACACGGCGCTGACCACCGAATACTGAGTTATAACCATGTCAGTCAGTGGCTGACTTTCATTTAGCCAGCTATAATGGTAGGAATATTGGGAGAGAACGAATACGCTATATCTGCTGGCTTTATATGCTATTACGGTGAAATGGAGACAAGCTGGACACACAATGCCGATCAACAGAGCGGCGCCCTCCTTTCGTCCTCCCTCCATGTTGTCAGGCTTCTGAATCAGGTCAATAACCATTTCCCCTTGAGTATCGATTACCAGTATTGGCCAATAACTTTTCCCGGTATTAATGAGCCCCTATCCACAATAATGTGACCCGGGTAACGACAAGCTGAGAACACACAACCATTCATGAACAAAGAGTGTAAAAAATGGTTCTCGAGTCTACCCAGAACCACATGCAAATACCGCTAAGAGTGCTGCAGTGGAACTACAACTTCCTGTTATACCAAAGATGCAGTCAGTTCGGCTCAGTTCAAGCTTCAAAATGAGTGTTCACTTTCCAATTCTCCACTGAAAGGCACGGTTCACGATAATAAGGTTACTAAGTTTTTCGTTTAGGAATACTCAGTGCCCCCACATGGATGGTAGAAGGGACCCTCTCGCCCCACGATCTCGGCGCTTAGGGCATAGTGGAAGCACCGTTGCTGCCGTAGTTCGCTTTCCCCTTGATCGGTGTCACGTTAGACGAGTGCCGAGACAATACAGATTGCTATTATTTGTTCTAGGACCCACGCACAATCAGCTAATCGCCGAGTGATGAGGCGATGTTTTTCTCCCATTCTTCTTTCCTCTGTTTTTCTTTTTGCTACCGCGGTTTTTTTTTGTTTATTTATGCTTATAAGTTAGTGAATTTTTGCTTACCATTGTCTGTTATTCGCACCAGGACCCACACGCGCGCAGAGAAACACACTGTTTAGCTCGTCCGGACGCCCCACACTCCTTCATTTTTCTGGTCTGATTCTCGTCCAGCCCCCTTTTTAACGGTTCTTCGAAGCCTTTTTTCACTTTGGAAACACCGATGCACGCAGTTTCTTCACTTCACTCGCACTAGTTTCGATCTTGTCTTCCATTTTTCATCATAATCTGGACTACCCAAAATTATCGTGAACTGCGCCTTTAACCCAATGACTTTCATGAAAGTTGATTGCACGGCGCATCCGGCACCAAGACTCTCATTGTCCCGCAATTTCTTTATTCTAACGTCTGACAAACCTTTGGCAACTAATGACATAAACCGCCCTCGCATCCCCTTTTTTCAGACCGTTCCGGATACAAAGCACATTTGCACAGTTGCCTAGGTCATCGGCTTCCAGTGTGTGCCATTGGGTCAATAATCATTGGTGTTTCATTCATTGGTGTGATAGGCCTACATCAATGAAGTCATTTCAGGGACAATTTCAATCGCTAAACGACTATGATGGCGACAAATCTAACATCGTACCAGATCGTGCACGAAAGTACTGGCAAGCCGTCCATGTGAGTACTTATAAAGCGCATTTGGGCAGTTTTTAAATCTACCAGGACAAATCAAATTATTCTACAGGTTATCGATTGGCTTCAGAAATGACTGCAGAAACTACTTCGGTTTCAAAAAATCTGTTCCCACCGATTAAGTCCTACAAATCACATAATACTTAGGTACTCCGAGAGAGAGAGCATTCTAAACCGATATTTAGCACTGCAGCGTTGAATGAACGGTTTCGATTAGAATGGGGAAGTGGGTGGGTAAGGCACAGATGATCGAGCTTTATTGGAAAATATCTCAAATCTATCGGGCCCCGACATTACATAGTTTACGATGATTTATTTATCTATAACCCGTCGTAGATACTCCCAATCGTCGCCTAAGAATCATGAAACAAGTTCGCCCATTCAATCGCTTCAAGTTGGAACCGCCAAAGAATGGTGCTATTTATAAACTGAGGGGCGGCTGCGAAATTCGCTGTGGGACCGCAATACCGTAACCCGCGCCGCGCTCATGTGCTTAGCTGCAGCTGGCCTAAATTTAAAAGTGAAATGAAAGCCACCAGGTTGGGGAATGGATGAGAAGAAAAGAGAGCACAGCACCCAACATCTTCCTTTGAATGTACAGAAAAGGGAAGGTGTTGGGTGAGGCGCTTCACTCAACACAGGATGAAAGCCACCAGGACGGGGAAAGGATGAAAGGAAGGGAGAACAAAACACCCGACACCTTCCTTTGAATGTACAGAAAAGGGAAGGTGTTGGGTGAGGCGCTTCACTCAACACAGGATGAAAGCCACCAGGACGGGGAAAGGATGAAAGGAAGGGAGAACAAAACACCCAACACCTTCCTTTGAATGTACAGAAAAGGGAAGGTGTTGGGTGAGGCGCTTCACTCGACTGATTGAGCTAAAGGCAGGTCTGTTATAAGAGCTCCTTTGAAGAAACTATTCACATTAAATTGGAACTTTAGGCATTGCGCCCAAGTTGAGAAATCGTTTGTGCATGTGCGGACAGATTTGTTCCTTTTAGGAGTTATCATTTATTATGAATATTCCTCTAAAGCAACTAGGGTGTGGGTTGTGCTACCTCGGGAGTAATCATCGAGTGCCTGTCACTGCTAATACCACAACACGACTTGCTTTGAAAGTCCTACATCAAATCAGCAGTTTTCAGAACTTGAGTACCTGTTTGTCGCCCTAACCCTGATTATTACCTATTATTATAACCTGCAGCTGATACCCAACACCTTCCCTTTTCTGTACATTTCCCATCCCGGTGGCTTTCATGTAACTTTCAAATTTAGGCCAGCTGCAACTAAGCACATGAGCGCGGCGCGGCGGTATTGCGGTCCCACAGCGAATTTTGCAGCCGCCCCTCAGTTTATAAATAGCACCACACAGAATTATCTAAATGGTTAGAATACAATGTCATGATCTGAGCAATATGCTCAATTTCGCCGTAATTCCGCATTTGTCAAAAGCTTGCCACTCGTTGACAGATCATCTACAAAGAGGAGGCGAGGTGAGCTATCACCAGATGCAGAGTCTGTGGATTTAAGCCCAGGTCGAATCCTATAATAGAGGATTAGAGTTAATATTCCTCAAAATCCGCGACTTGCGACAAGGCAGATCCTGCAGCCGAAACACGCCTCGATGATACCACGATATTGGATAAATCTGGATAGATCTGAACATATGGCGCATCCGGAGAAAGGGCCATTCAATGGGCTCAGTCACGTTGTATCAGTCTTCTTAGTAAATGTTTGATCTATGCCGAATGTGATTGATCCCAAGAGCTATGGTTTAAGCCGGAATGGGTAGCTCTGTATAACATACAGGATATTGAATGAAAGTCGAATGCATGGCGCCTTCCACCAATGACACAAGGAGCTGGACCAAATCAATTATCTTTTTTTTTTCTTTTCCACATTTTTTTGGCTGTTAATGTTCTTCAGTTCCATTATTTTGCAGTGATTCATTGTTTTTAGGGTTTTCCGGTAGAAAATCACCACTACCCCTATATGAATATACAATGAAATGCCTCATACCCACTATTCAGGAAGGACGCATCAGAATTCCTCATTATCGACCGGCAGCGTCACTTGTCGGTGTGGGAGGGAACGTCGGTATTGGTACAGCTGCATAATCGAACGAAATTCAGCCAAATACCGGTATTCGCTCAAAGGTATAAAGTATGTGAATGTATGACAGATGTACATATCAAAAGGTTAAGGCATAAAATTTCTCGCTCAACCAATCTTTTCTGTGATATACGCCTCGATGCGCCTCTTGCCATCATACCACTTCCGCGCTCAGGCCCAAATTGTGGTTGCCAAATTTATGAACTTGGGAAGGCTCAGGTCTATATAAGTTCATAAATTTGGGAACAATGCCTGATCGCATTGGAGAAAAAACGTCGAAATAGGATCGATTGACAAAATAGATGATGAACGCGTTCCAGAAGTAATTTCGACTAACCACCAATGCTTTTGTAATATAACCCATTTTGGCACCGTTTACGAGAAGAATGGTTACTGAGTTCTTCCCTTAGAATACTCAGTGGTCCCATTGACGATAAAAGGGACCCTCTCGCTCCAAAAATCTCGATGGTCACGGCATAGTGAAAGCCCTTTTGCTGTCTTGAGTGGCTTTCCCGCCTCTCGATCGATATCACGTTAGACGAAAATCGAGGCAATACAGATTGCGATTATTCGTTCTAGAACCCACACAAATCAGTTGATCGCCGAGTAGTAAGGCGATGTTTTTCTCCCATTCTTTTTTCCTCTACTTTTTTTTGCTGCCGCGATCCCTTATTTAATTTCTTACCCCAAGATAATAAAAAAGGTGAACTATTTTTGCTGTAACTAGGCTTTTTTTTGTTACTTATGCTCATAAGTACATAGCTTGTCCAAACGCCTCACTCTTCTTCATTATTCTGATCTCATTCTCGTCCAGCCCCCTTTTTAACGATTTTTGAAGCCTTTTTCACTTTGGAAACACCGATCCACGCAGTTCCTTCGCCCCCATCGCACTAATTTCCATCTTATTTTCCATTTATCGTCATAATATGAGTTACCCAAAATTATCGTGAACTGTGGCTTTAATCCACATAAAGGTGAGTAAGAGAAAAGCAGAACTTGGCACAAATGTGAGCTGTTCGTTGTTTATTCATATTGGTTTTCAAGAAATAAGTTAGTAGTTAAGTTAAAGTTTTTATTAATAGCTTGATAATCGACCATGCACTTTTCTACAATGGGGTGGGATTGAGGCCACAAGCCCTTCAACCGCCCTTGTACCTGATTTGTGTAGAAAAGAGTGGAAACGTCTTTTACGAGTACAGCAGAAGTTTGGTAACCCTGGGCGGTTCAATAGGAAGGGGTTCATTAAATGCCTACTACCCTAATCCATACTCAGTCATACTACCGGCCTACTTCCATTCAAACACTTCCGCGATTCGGCGTGGAAGTTAACAGCGTGGCGCACCTCCGAAAAAGTTTGTTATTCCTCAGTCTCCACCTTTTCTAGACCAATTTTCAGAAACAAAAGGAACCAACAAATGAAATTGAGGTTTTTATTCCTCATCTTTGTTATTTATGAGAGGAACAACAGGCATTATAAATAACAAAAATTGGAGAGCAGTCAGTTCTGGTCCAGACGTCAGCACTCGAAATCTTCATCGTTCTTCGCCACCCATAAGTAGATGAGTTGTCCGGCGGCTGTCAGAAGATGTTGCTTCTTTGGATGAGCCGATAACGAGTGAACCACTTTTGACGGATGTTCCAGTTTTGCTATCACATTACTGTCAAGTAAACTGAAAAGACTTACTCAGAAATTCAGTCGCTCGAAAACCTCCCGAATTCCTCGGAATCGACTACTTTACTCTATTAGGCTGGTGCCCTCCGAACATATATTGTAAACGACCGACCTCCACACATAGACAAATCCGTCTTCAGAGCCTGATACCACTTCTTCTATCGAAGCCATGACACAGCTATCCACTTTGTATTCAGTATTTCTATGACCAGTATAGCTAAAATAGGTACAGATGTGAAATTTTCGCATCTGTACAAGCAAAACAAAAAATCGCTTTCAATAGATCAGTGTCATCGAGATGCGCCACGCATGAAACTTCCCTTCAGAATTATAGAAGTGGGTTGAATGGGCATCTGACAACTACAACGAGTTGTGGAGCTTAATTAACTGCTGAGCCCGCATTAACACTTTGAGGCGAGATTAAAGACAACCAGCAAACCTCCAGAATTGATCGGATTTGGGATTCAACCCACTGATCATGTCGATGGTAACAACTCCTTTTGCCACTACTTTATTTTCACTCGCCAATACCTTATAACGAAGACAATACGTAAAAAGCTTACCTGGCCAGCATTTTTCCATTCACTTTATCCATCAGCCGTATGTTGCCATCTTGAACTGATGCTAGGACACAATTTGAATCTGGTGTTATATGAACGCAATTCACACTCTCGCCCATAAAGTCGATGTGGACCTGAGAGTACTTCGTTTCATACACCAATACGAATCGTTTGAAAGACGAGTTATTCTTCTTTTACTGGAAACTGTCGGTGGAGGAAAAGGAGTAGGAGCTTAAGGGTGGAGGAAAGGGAGTAGGAGCTTAAGGGTGGAGGAAAGGGAAAGGGTGGGAGGAGAGAATACTTCATTTTCCCGAGCCGCAAACGGGAAACTGCATGACATCGGATGGTTTTGAAAGAAGACATTGAGTTGAACACGTGTTTAAACTAGGGTTTACTAGGCTCCTAACGTTTCTATATACGTTTCCCTTCTCAAGAAAAGAGGTAATCTACTCGCAAAAGAGATGGTCCTTGTTTCATCCCTGAGGTGACTAAGCTGAGAGAATCTTCTCATTGTTCTTACTACGGTACTTTGCGCCTTTTGAATTACCATTAAGGGCAGTTCTTTTCACCCCTCCTTTTAATCCATTAGAATCAAGAGGCACGAAGACGCGTGGCTACAGACGAAATTAGGATAAAAGGATAAAGTTCTAGGCGTCAATCAATCCTGTCTGAGGAATGCGCCCTCGCACTCGACTTCCACTCAGAAACGCAGTGGCGTAATGAGTGCATATATGACCTATACACGACTTGCAGTGGCCAGCCGATGTACAAGACAGTGTTTTTATCCTCCCAGACGAGTCTGGTACCAATTAAGCGACCCCGGAGGGATGCAAGGCTTGGTTACCCCAAGCGGATATCGATCCGGGATTAGAACCCCTGGCCATGCGTGTGAGATAGTGCGCCACTTGCCACCTCACCACCTCCGCCCCCACTGACGAAATTGATAAAACTAACAAAAAAGTACTGTTTGGATTTTCCAGCGATCAATGATACGAGAATGATTCTGTAAAAATCCTAATACGAACAATGGAAGACTCACATTTCCTTGTCTAATACTGTATAGTCGATAATTGGCATCTGCTGAACCGGCGACGATCTCGCCACCGTTGATATCTATACTGAGCACACTGTCGGTTGCCTCATTGAATATCTGAACCATACTTACTTACGGATGCAGAACCAATGAAACTATGAGCTACTGCTTGATGGATGACCATTGGAAGGACTAGTTATAGTATGAGCACTTTTTCATGGACAAAGGCTTCGATTGAGTGGATGCACAAAAAAACCAGCCTTTGGTCACGCTGAGTGTTGAACCAGATCTTCCGCAGCCGCTAAGATCACAGTGCCTCCGAAAGTTGCACGCGGTAATAAAGGCAGAGCATTTGTCACTAACTAAACCTCACGGAGTGCGCCATGCATTCTACTCGCCCTTAGCGCCTTAAAGGTAAACGGAAATTCGTTTAACTAATTACTGGATATTCAATGAGGCTCTTCAACCAGAGCATAAATCTATCTCCTTTTAGGGACACCATAACTGACCATAACAGAGTAGAAACAAAAGCTGCCTGAACAGGAATAGATTTTGTGGTCAGTGCCACCTCGGTCATTGCACCATACCGTTGTTCTTCGGATAAACAAGGCGTTGAAATGTTGTTGTCTAGCCAACATAACTATTTCAAAATGTTCAAATTGCCATAAAGTAACTTTGAGGAATTCTTGGAAACTCCTCGAGCTGACTTAGCTTTCCGAACCTCTGATCCCACACGAACCTTTTCACCCAATCATACTTATACTTTCAAAACAATACAGCTAAGTGCGGAAAAATAGGGGATTGAATACAGTACTTCAAACTGTCTTCGAAATTTGCCAAAAGCTAACCTGTATCGCTTTATCACTGCGGCTTCTATTATCAAACGCTTGCATAGTACAGTCTGTCGATCCGGAGAACACCACATTTGACTCCTCGTTGAAAGCGACAGCATTCACTCGAGCTGAATATAACAGTTCAGGGAAAATAGTTGTTTTCACACTTAATAAGAAACAATCAGAAAAAATATTCTGAATGAAATATTCTAAATATCTCTAAGAAAACAAAAATAGCAAAAGTGAAAGTCAAATCCTTTTTTCTAGTCTCAACTACTTAAGCAGAGCTCACCGGCATGTGCTCTCCACCTTCGCAATATCTTACCGGTCTCTACATCGAACACAGTTAGACATTTGTCGGCCCCACCAGCTGCCAATTGCGAATTGTCTGACGATGATGCCACATCGAATACCTAATCAAATCAAACATAAAAGTGATTCCATGAATCCATCCAAAATTGCAAAAGAAAAGGGATAGAAGAAAGGTAAAAGAGCAGGACGAAATAAAGAAGAAAGAATGGAAAGGAACAAGAAAAGAAAAGAGAGAAAGCAAAAGAGAGATATGCTATTAATCTATGCAAATCCACCGAAGCCATAAGTAGGCAACCTTATTATCAGCCTTCTACATCCTAGCCTTTCCTCAATCTCAGCATTATTCCTAGCAACTTACAAAAAAAACTTACCTCATTTCCTGTTCCAGTGTAAGTCTTCAACAACGAGCCCTTGATTGGATTCCATAGTTTGACGGATTTATCACTGCCGCAAGTCATGCAGTAATTACCATCGACTGAAAGGAGAGGTATTCCAAATAAGTTTCTGCATGGTGAATCTTGGTAGAGGGAATAGATTTTAGAGTTTATCGGGTTCGTTTTAATCGGATGCCACTTCATCAACTTCTCTTAAATGTAGACAGGAGATTCTCCTCATAGAGAGGAAGGATTTTTCTAATTTTTTTCCCCAAAGAAAGCTTGGAAATTTACAACACAAAATTTAAATTTTGAACTTTTAGTTTCATGTGAGAACAGAGGTGATGATGAGGCAGTAACTAACCGTTGTATCGAACAGCTCGAACAGCATCTTGGCGACAGTCGATCACACGTGCCCTTTGGGTCGGTGCTCCTTTACCCATAATTATGGTATTTCAGCAGCTCCTTTAGCAACTAAGCTATAGTACTTCCTTTGAAATCGAAGAAAGTCTCAGTCACACTTGGAAACCTCTTTAGGGTAGAATCGCCCATCTAGGTAGCTACAAAACAGGTTGCCAGGGCGAAGAGCAAGTCAAAATTAGTCGGGTAACAAATACAGAGTAATTATAGAAGCAAAGAAAGTGGAAATTGAGCAGTACGGGAGAAATTCGGTTGAAAAACCCATCCCATGCAAAGATAAGCAGAAGTGACAGTCATCAGTACCTCGCCAATATTCATTCTATCCAAACTTATCGCCGATACAATCAAAAGTCGAATATGTGGTGTAAACTAAGGAATCCATAAAGCTTACCAAACAACAAATACCACCATTCCTAGGATTCCTTGAGAATGTTATTCGGCCCGATCTTTCCGCTCTTGGTTTATCCCAATCCAAGAGGTAATTAAGGATCGGGATAAAAAGTTTTGAAAAAAAAAATCACCCAACTAGAATCTACCAGCGAATAGAAAAAACAAAAATGAAAATTCAAACAGCAAAAAACTTCATGGGTATTTTCAAAAAAGGATGAAATCCTTCAAAACAAGATATCCAGACACAAATCATTAAAACTTTCATATAACCGTATATTTATCATTTGGGCGAGAAACAGCATACAAAGGCAACCTCTGCTTTGTACTACACCATTGCCAAAAAGTTTGATATTAAATATTAACAATCATACATTAAAACTTTGCGGAACTATTCTGGAAAACAACACTTTGTGTGCTACACCGGAGGTTTCATTGAATGACACAATTCCGCCCGATAAAAATCTATTTAATTAAGCAGGTGGCAGTTCTTTTTGTTCACTGAGAGCTCGTGATTCGTGAAGTATAACATCGAAAGACACACCCTAAAGTAGATGCAGATTATCAGAGTATAGACAAAAAGTTTCGCATTTCACCCATATTCAATTTGAAACTGTATCGAAATGGACGTAGTGATATTTGGAGACTCTACTATATATTTGGCGACTCCTCGGAGAAAGTTTCGAACCCTCAAAAAACCAGAACACCCTCATGCTAAACCTTTTGTCAGACTGAGATTTTCAACCCGCCGAGCCTTTTATCCTATTGGGATCATCAGCCTACTGCGAAGCCAGAAGCCACTTGAAAATAGGAAGCCTTCAGTGTAATCTGAAATGGAGTCGAACCTTCCCCACCTCGATTCTCCTCAATGATTCCTTCACTTCCTCTTAATCTCCCTTCCCATTTCGTTATCGGTCTCCCCCTTTTTACTACAGATTGGCTGTTATCACTACGTCGCTGCGAATGCACTTCAGGAAATGAACCACTTTACCCTCCCAAAGCGAAAATCAAAGGTGCCTGTAAGAAAACGTGCCACCCGCCGATTTGTGTAGAGGTACCCAACACAAAAACAAATTAAAGCTCCATATTACCCAAAGAGTAAAAAACAAGCAAGAGCATCCTAAGGAAAATCCAATGCGCTCCCTACTCATACCAATGAAACGCTGTAATTATCCAAAAAGGCCCAAGCGCTTCGCGAAATAATCATAGGGATAGCAGTTGCGCGAATTCGAGGGTTCGGTCCCAACCTACATATTGGGTTGTAACATAAGTTCGTAGAGTTTTTTCACAAAGATTTATTTTAACAAAAACAATAATTATAATAATAAATTAATCAATGATGTATCCTCCTGTTACTGTTTGCGACCTTCTCCAATCTCTCGACCAAATTGTTGATGCCGTTTCGCCAAAAATCGGCCGGTCTGGTGTCGAAGAAGTTGTTGAGCCAGTTTTCAAGAACCTCTTCGCCATCGAAGGTAACACTCCTCATTTGGTTTCACAGAGAGCGGAAAGGTGGTAGTCGGTAGGTGCAAGATCCGGAGAGTACGGTGGATGCTGAAGAACCTCTCATTCAAGCTTTTGAAGTGGTGTTTTGACGACTTGGGCATTATGGTGCCTGGCGCTGTCGTGGAGCAAGATGACTTCACCTTGTCTATCCGGTCTTTTCAGCCGTATAGCCATACTAACACGGTTAAGCTAGGCAATGTAGACCTCCTTATTGACAGTAGCATTTCGCTCGTGCATTTCCCAGTGCACCGTGCCTTTCCAGTCTCACCAAACGCAAATCATGACCTATTTTAAGTGAAGGTCTTGCTTGACTCTCGGCTTCGGTGCCTCTCCTGGGGCCACCCAGAGACACACCTAAGACACCTTCCTCGTACACACTGCATATGTCCCGAGCGGCTTAGGCTGCTTATTGACCTCGATGAAAAGCAGATGTCGAAAATGCTGATTTTCTCCTCCTGGATATTCCAATTCTGAGCCAGAAAAAAGAAGTACAACTAGATTATTCAAAAAAACGAATAAAACTATTTCATAGAGGAGAAAGAGCTCTTTCGAATGAATATATACACTTCGTCAAAAAACAAAGCGAATCGTTGTAAAATGACCCTAACACAAAACTCTACGAACTTATGTTACAACCCAATATTTCAGCCTTTCTTAATGAATCGTGGACAGTTACGAAAAATACCTGATGATAAGCGGAAGATACGAAATGCTTATTGGCGGTTGCAGTGACAGCCCTGTAGTAATCGCCTGACCCAAAAATAATCTGAAACAGATCACTGACACTCTCACGCTAACGACTCACAGCACTGATACAAAAGTGAGCACAAAAACTCATCGTCCCCGAAAAGAAAATCAACGGGCGAAATCAATCAGAGACTTTACACTACTCTTTGGCACGATACCTAATTTTGCAGAGAACATTCGTAACTCACCAAACTTCGCTGATTAATCCGATCCGAAGGCTTGAGGGTAGTTGTTTTCTCCGAAACCGCATCTTCAACTAACCGAACTTTCGAGAACAATTCTTCCATACGTTTCTTCTCAGATTCTCCTCCTACCGTACTCAATATGTCACGGACAGAATCGTAGGCCGTACGGCAGATTATCCAATCTCTACCTGAAAATGTCGTACTATTTCACATATTGAACTGACTGTTTATTTATGGAACATGCGTGAAGTGTGAAGGGTATGAAGCAATGGGCTAAATTGCACAGGATCTTGGTTTGCTGAACGAAAACCACTGCAATGTCATCAAGCAATAACGTAACTAATTTAGGAAACTTCGGAAGACTTTTCCCCAACCCGAAAACTTGCCATAGAAAAACATCGAATTTTCAAAAAGGTGTCCTCTCTATGGTTCATTTATCCAATAGCTAAACACCATCTTCTTCTGAATTTGACGCCCTTCTTCAATCATCAATTACGAGCGACCTTCTTGAATCTATTGCTCACACCCATACGCCATATAACAACAGCCTACCATTCGAATAACACCATAATCTAAACACATTGACACTCACTCTACGTGAAAGACCTAACCTTCAATTTGGCTCAGAAGTTGCTTCCTAGCAGGAGTTTTCCGCTCCATCTCTGCTTGTTGAGAAAGCAGAACGCTGTCGAACCTGCAAAAAAGTACTATTAATCTCTATTTCTATTTAGCACTATTTTAATTTCCATCATGAAAAACTGCACATCATGCAAAAACATCATGAAAATCTACTTCGCTAGCAATTCGCTGAGAACAACAATAACAATAAGTCATATAAAAAAGATCAATGAAGTTTTGTAAGTCTTGTCCAGCGAATTTTTCGGTAGTCTCTAACATATACTTCAACTTGGCTCTTTCTTATTTGCAAAAAATATCTCTCCCATCCCTTTCAGCTTTGCCACTTTGCAATCGCACGCTTCAGCAACCCATAAAATGTAAGTTAAAACAACGGCTGAGACGTCACTTCGTATTACAAGTGATTTTCAAGAAATGAACGTATTCAACTCGAATTATGTAGTCCTTGGCAAACAGCAATAAAAACTGTAACATACACATGATTTGTGCCATTTTCATGGGTCATATTCGAGATTAGGACGAAAACAGCCGATACATCCAAGTTAATCGGTGGAGGTCGTGACAGCTCGGCACCATTTGCTGGCACTCTGTCATTTTCTTCAACGTCATTCATCAGCATTTCCATAAAATCTTCTGGCACTTTGGTAATTGAATCGATTGGAACCTGAATTTTAGTTCACTTATATAGACAGAAGAGTAATAATGCTTCCCTAATAGCAGTTGAAATGCCGTGAAAATCGGTTCATAACCTGACATGCGCGTTCCATGTAAGCGAGCTTAGCTTAATCATAACTCAGAATTTTTAAACCAACGAAACCACCTCTTCCCCTATCACGGTTACTCCAAGAGATCGCAACTTTGACGCCATCGCATCAGGTACCCCAGCTACAAACTCGAAGACAACTTCAGGCGGACGAAAATTCCTTTGAAAAAGTGCTGCCATCTGAAAGGGACAAATTCAAGAGGTAGCCATGGAAAGCGAGAAATTCAGGTTGTATTGTATATGTGCATTACAGAAGTAAAAGAAGAAATCTCACGTTTAAGTATGTATCAGCCTGCTCAAAAATATTCCTGGAGCTGCCAGTTAACCAGTCCATACAAATACCTTTTGCTGATCGAGAAATAACTTTTACCTAAAAACTCTTCCCATGTTAAAGACACCGCAACTAATTTTCGTACATGACGACTAATCGAGAGACTAAAAACTGCTTAAATGGTTGATTGCAGCATGCTGCGATATAACTCTGGAAATTCTACTTCTCCTCTTAGTTACGGCTTAACAAATTACGACATCGCACAAGGTCAAAAAACGGTCATCTTTACAAAAGTTCTGCTTCTTTTGTAACATTAGCATTTCTACTATATGCATCGATTGCATCGATTTAGAGACAAGAGTGCACAATTGACTAATGGGCGAGTAAGAAAGAGTATTATTTCAAAGATAATCTAGCGAACATACCCACTGATTGCCTTTCTTTGCAACGATATCCACAGTATGTTTCAAAACCCTGAAACAATAATGTTGGCGAAAATGTTTTGAGCAAGATGATTTTCTACTCAGGACACAGCAGTAGATGCAGATATGAAGGAAATTGTAGGTAAGATTGTAAATTCAGCCTAACACACATTGAATATCACACTTTTCTATCATTACATGTATGTGCTTCTCTACAAGTTCTATCGATAAGGGAATGTGAAAGGCAAGAAAGAAAATGAGATCATAAGTAGGTTGTAAAACACAGACCTACAAAGCCCTCTATCCCGTTACATCCCTCGAGTGACCTGGGTCTATGGAGTAGGGTTTGGAACAGCTGAGTTTAAGGAGATCGCAACGAAGAGTCAAGGTAAAGGTCTCCCGGCCGCTAGGAAGCCAACAGACGCATATGGACTCAGTGTTTATGGGTTTAGACTGAGTGTTTTCACAAACACGATCATACCGTAAAAAAATTCCGATAAAATCAAAAAAATTAGAAAGTGTAGAGCGTAACTCACGAATCCGTCTCTGGATCAAGAATAGAAAATGTGTGGAAAACAGCCTGAACTCCATGAAATCGTTGAATACCAGACACAATATTCTCGAAATGAGTCACATTACTCGTTTCTATGTATTTCCTCTCCAGTGGCGTCTTGCCAGATTCGATCTAAAAGCGAGTGAGACACAAGTATTGCGAGTCAAATAAAGAATTACACAATATTCATTTCAACTTGGCAAATAGAAATGGTACATGGTATAGCGCAGGTAGTTCATTAATTGCTACTCACTCACACATATACCTACAATTGCATTAGGTTACCCTGATTCCTTTCCAAAAATCGACTATAACCCAGTAGGTACGATCTAATTTTTGTCCACGAATCCTGCTGTCTATGAGGAGACTGAAGGAATAGTTCTGGACAATTAAGGAAAACAGACCTAATGGTCCGTTTCATTTCTGTACTCGCACTAAGCAACCAGAAAATAAGACAAGTTTATATCAAATGGCAAAGAGTGTGGCGTCTAGCAACATTCAGGAAAATAGCAAAGGCACATGATTCTTCAACGACTATTAGCAACTCACCCCTTCGAGGAATTTTAGTTCGCTTGCAAGTCGATTACGTAGTTTGCTAACTCCTTGTATCGATGAATATTGTTTGCCATGTAATTGTTGTTCTAACGAACGAGCCGCTTCGAGTCTACCACTAAGAAGAGCTGGTAAATCTTCGTCGGATGACATACCTATTGAAAAAAGAACATCTCAGTGGATTTCAAAACAGTTCAGTCGCTATAACAACTAAACAACCAGGGAACCTATAGCACTTTCCAAGCAAATATAGAGTTTGAAATGCTCTAGAAGATTTACTGCTGATGAAAGACGAAAGACGGAAGAGTTTGGGGGAGCGTGTTTGTTTGATCACTATATTGAGTTGTCCGAAAAGTTTCCGCCGATTTTGAACACCCTCGGTTCATCTACTGTTGTACAAAAGATCAAAGATCCAGTCTCATGAAGTTAAGTTTTTTCTGAAGGGTAGGTCCTCTCCTATATTCCTGTTGATTATGTCAACATTCGTCGAAGTTTGCCTGTACAGGACTCGTGTGAAAAATGAGCGCCATTGTGCACATTTTCGACAACTGAAGTGCTTCTTCTACCGCAAAGCCTAGAATGCGGCTCAAGCCGCGAGAAAAATTTGCGACGTCTAAGTAGACAATGCTTTAGAGGATCGTGCAAAAAGTGGCTGGTTTGCGGGGTCCAAACAGAGTGAAATTAACTTCAAAGACCGACAACCCTCAGGGAGACTATCATCAGTTTAAACGACCAAATCAAAATCTTAGCCAGAGCGAATCGGCACACCACTACTCGTGGAGTAGGATAAGGGCTTTATGTTTCGAAATCAACCATCCATGATCATCTGCTGGACCTTGGTTTTGTAAAGTGTCCTGATGTTGGGGTACCTCACGAAATGAGCGTACGCCTTATGATGGACCGCGACTTCTTGCCCGATCGAAATAAAAATAAGCTGTTTCTGAAACGCATGAGCACGAGGGACGAAAATCGGATCGTGTACAGCAATAAGGTAAGGAAACGATCGTGGAGCCTCCCTAGTGAGCCGCCACAAACCGCTGCAAAAGTCTAAATCTAGGTGCTGAGGACTATGTTGGTGGGATTCCAGGGAAATCACTTATCATGAGCTGTTGTCGCATAATCAAACGATAACTTCTGAAAGGTACTATACCTAGCTTGATAATTTGGAGCCAGCGACAGACCAGAAGTGACCCGAACTGGCCAACCGTGAGCGCGTTGTCTCTAGCAGGATACCTCTAGACCACACCTATTTCTGGCCACTCGCTGGAGCTTGGTTGGGATGTCTTGTCACACCCCCCTCATATAGTCCGGACATAGCATCATCAGAATACTACTTGTTTAGGTTTCTACAAAATTCTTTTAATGGAAAATCGTTCAATCCGCTGAAGGACTGCAGAAAGCACCTGAGAGGGTTTTCCGATTTTAAGTCTGGTATCTACTATGAAAGTGGGATAATGAAACTCACCGGAAGATGGCAAATCCTTACTGAACAGAATGGAGGATATATCGTTCAATCAACGGATTCCTTCTTTTAGGAATTCTCACTCAAAAATGAGTCAAAGGAGACTTTTCGGACAACCCAATAATTCTATGGTTTCAGACGCAGTTGCTAAAATCTGCCTAAAATTAAGCCGTCAAACAAACCGATCCCGAAATTCTCAGCATGGGTTACACTCTGTTCGGGAGAGTTAAATTGCCCCGTGCTTCCCCTCTTCCCTTTTAACTGGACACTTCGCTGAGCAGTCAACCCCTCAACTGCCCTCCCCCCCCCCCCCCCCCCTTCAATGGTATATCCTACCTGTAGAGACTAGTTTTTCACATAAGCATCCTCAGAGTAGGTTAATTCCTAAGCGTTAGTGCAGAAGCACTTTTAATTGCTTCTGTGTAGTAGCCCTTGCGTTCACAAATACTGATATCATACGGTAGTAACGTATAAGTGTGGCACAAACACATCCTTCTTGGAAAAAAGACCAACTAGACCGAGAATTATCATTTTTATCACAATATTGGTACAAAGGTAGTGAAACACATTTGGCCTGTCACCTATAATTGGCGTAAGCACCAGAGAATTCGAGCACAGTAGAGAAAGGTTTAATGCATAAAGTTAACAATTTCAAAGGTATAAATTACATGGAAAATATTATGCGAATAAAAAATGCACAACATTTGATCACACATAGACCTTACAAAAGCAAGAATGTCATCAGGTAGGATCTTTAGTTTAATCGAATAAATAATACTTTTTTCAACCAGTCATAGCAATAATATGAACTGATAAGGATAGATGTTCCCGTGATAATATGAATACTTAAATGTAACGTAACTTCATCAAGAAGTACAACGGCAAGCAATGAAAAGACACATAGATTAGAAAGACAATGATTTAAAAAGCAAGATAGACACATAGAAAAAGTGTTCAGTTGTTTAAAAAAATGATTTTTAACAGTCTAATCATAGCAAATGAAAAAGAAGCTAAGTAGAAGTTATCGAATTGAATAGCTTTATAAAAGGTTTCTAACTATTTCACCTCCAACACGAACAACACATCTTTGACATGCCAGGCAATGCATCGTTACAAGGTGCATCCGATCTGTCTCCATAGCAAAATCAATTTTTTCATATATAAAGCACGACGAGATCATCGGAGATGCCGCCCACTACAATTATAAAGATTGACCAACTGTGTATGCAGTGCACAAACATGAATATGCTTTTACGCTTTTCCTGATGGTAAGTTTGAATACACTGACAAGCCGTGACAAAAATAATTCTATCTTTCAAGCGGTGTTCTTCATAAATTTTCGTGCCGTGGCTTTCGAAAGCTATCCACATCCCTCAGTTCTATCATATTCAGATGGAAAAAAGTACCTACTGCCCTTAATTATTAAACGGCTGCGAAAATTGTCTGAAACCGAGCCGGAAAGTGAACTGAATACTTGTTCTTTTCCTAGCCTACTTTATGGGGAAAAACAGCAATCTCACCTGGCGACATTTGGAGCACTTCACGATCAATTCATCCGCAATTATTTTCAAATCCCACGGAAGAACATTCTCCGGCAATCTGGAAATATTTCTATTTACTTTTCTCAGTAATTATGACGAACAGAACCCATAGAACTCATGAATAAAACCCTAACGAAATCGTGTAGAATCATCATGCTCAAGTAACCAACGAAGTAAAGAATAAAAAGTTTGGAAGTAAGGTAAAAATATTCAACTGAATTTCGAAAATTCCCAAGCAGTGACATTATTCTGTTGAAAGCAGCCATCAAAAATGGTCCACAACAGGACCATTTCCATGTTGAAATAGTTACGGAAATTCTGCAACCAATCCCAAGAAACCGAATCTTATAAAATATAAAACAACATAAAGCCCAAATAAGTAATCGAATGAAATAGTAATGGGGATGTAAACTCACGAGAAACGTCGCACTGATGCAAATGCTAACGCGGAAAGAGACGAAATCGAAGCTTTTTTGGGAGGGGGTAAGCTGAAACACAAAAAAAGTGTGGACTTGATAATACAGAGACACTTTTCAAAGAGAGGCAAATGTAAATCCGATTGAACTCACGGGATCACTATCGGGTTGTTATCACAATCCAACCTGTCGAATCTTTGGCTTTTGAGATCATGAGGTAGAAATCTAATACGGTTGTTGTCAATAAACAAATTTCTGAGTTGCATGTCGGACATCTGAAATTTCAAATATTTGAAAACGGTAGAGCTACATTGATGATAAAAGTGGCCAGGATTTGACCAAAATGATGACTTACGTCTCTTGGTAAACTCTTCAATTCATTAAAACTGAGGACGAGAGTTTTGAGGTGCCTCACTTTTACAATGGAGCCGGGTAAAGACTTGATACGGTTCACAGCCAGACTAAGGGTATCGAGTGAATGTGGAAGCCAATCAAAAAACAGAGACTGAAACAATTTCTTTCAGAACGAAGTCGATTGAATAACCTCACTACATAACTCTATTAATGCTCGTGTAATACCAATTGCAGCAATGTCCAAACTCCAAAATTTCCAAAAAAATAACTGGCGCATCCATAAATTTCATGTATAGAATGCTTGACAAACTCCTATGCAAATTGATCACACCTACGCAGTAGCATAACTTTTGTGAAAAGATATTATTCGCTTCGCATCGATATCTGTTTAGGATCGAAAGTACTCACCGGCAATGCGTCTATTTGATTATCTTCCAGAGAAAGAACACGAAGATTGCTTAGCCGTGAAATAAGCTTCATTTTCACAAAATTCGATGCTTGCCCAAGACGATTCCGAGATAGATCCAGTTGATAGAGTGTTGGCAACGAGAACCAGCGACAATCAACGCTATCGATACCTGCAAGATAACAGCTGCGTCAATGATAATGTACTATACGCAATAAGCAACATTTCGGCTCTTCTCGCAAATGCGCAGCCTTCTGTGTGTATTCATTATTAGGACTGTTACCAATAGGAACTTCCGAAATACATGCTCCAGCAACCTATTAATGTCTAGAAACAACCAGAAAAGTTCAGCTCCGAATATTACCTAATGAAATCAATTCCAGTGTCTCCAACGATGACGGATATACAATTCCTTTTAAATCCTCCTTTTTCGTGACAGACAACTTCTTGGGTAGAACTTTGAAATCTGTCATCTTCACCTGAACCCATGCAGTGAATTCTGGGGATAGTTGAACTTTCGGCTTAAGATTCTTTGAATTCGGCTTACCTTGTCCAAGGATTTTAGAGAAACATCGTCCCCTTTCAATATGTCTTGGAAATTACGGACGAAGCGCTGTAGATGAGCTGGATTACTCTGGAAAAAAGCAGTCAATCCATATAAGTTCCCAAAATTTACAGTAGAGGATGTTCACCTTCATTATAAATACCGAAATAGAGGGATTATTGAAGGCAAATGAGGCACGACCTGACGCGATACGTTGTAGATGCATTTCTCGAACATTGTTCGGGGAAATCTACAAAGCGAAAACATACCCCAATTGGTCACTTCGGTTTATTACAATCATTACGGTGTATTGAGAAAAGTAACGGAAAAATCACCTCAATTGGAGGAGCCTTGGTATCACGTCGTGTTGCTACGTGTAACAAATACCGAGTTCCACCCTGAAAGTACACATCCTATCCGAACTCTAATTGCTTACATTTAGTTGCCCTGTTATGCGAGAAAGAGCTGAGCGCATGAGATCTCTAACCCTTACATACAGTCAAGTACTTGCGACCAAATTTTAAAAAAATGGTTAAGCACAGATTTCCGTTGGCTCAGGAAAGTGCCACTCATTCCATAGTGACGGGTTTAGCTCCATAGATTCCATAGTTCCAATACTTACCAAGCTCTGGGGTACACCGTTTACATTTTTTTACGTGAACACCTCACAGCCATTTCTACATTTCTGACAAATAATCATTTGTCGAAGAAGAACTCAGAAAATGAGCACTCAATATATGAATACGGATTACGTGTTCTGAAGCCTGCCAAAACTACGTTATATGTGATATTGGTTTGATATTCGCCCAAGCCAACCGAGCTTCCTATCCCTCCGGGGTCGGTCAGCACTGGCTTGTCAGCCGGTTGGCCACGACAAGTCATCAAGTCATAGCATAATCCACAGACGCATTCAATAAGTTGAACGGAGGTCGAATGGGGGTCGAATTCTTCGGACGGGATTGATCAACGCCCAAAGGCTTCATCCTTACCTTTTATGTGACAGCGGTACACGTATCGAATCATGATGATGAACCCGAAGCGTTTTTTATAGAAAAATAATAAAAAATTTAAAACGAGCAAACCTTGGTATTACTTTTGCCGAGCCTCACGATCCCTTTACAACATTTGGATGGCAACGGTTTCGATGCGCCAGCGCAACTAGCCTTCATCAACATTACATCGCATTCTAGTCGCATCGTACCGCTGCCAAAACTATTTCTAGAGTAAATAAAAGTATTAATTGTATTATTTTTAAGACATCTGCACAAATTTCTACAAGTATGGGTAGGTATAAACCGGAATTGAAACAAAGTAGCTAGCGTATGTCAAAATTTTTATTTGGCACTTTGTTTAACACAAAATCATTCGATACATGGCCGAATTGGCTCAACAACAATCATTATTACAACCTCCACGGAAGCGAAAAAACTCGTTCACGTTGAATCTAAACACTACCCACAAGGAAGCAATATTTACAAAGCGAACAAAACCAAATGAACCCTTCAGTGGTACCATAAAAAGTGATGTTCGATTATCTATGACAACATGAGTAGGGAAGTGGAATAAATAAAAGACATACTAGAAAAGAGAGTTACGCCACACTTCAGAGACACTAATTAACACTAAAAAAGTGTAGTTACATTTCAACACCTATAAAATAAGAGCATAATCAAGAGAGATTAATAAATAGGGTAGGCCAAAGTGCAACTTTTCTAAGATCCCTCATTTTAATAGCTTTCTAGCTTACTAGATCCAGCCCGAATACGAAACAATGGAAAAGATTAATTTGTTCAAAATCGAAAAAAATGGGTAGTAACTCAGAAAAATATGATTCAAGAATACGACGTAGAGAGGACACTATTTCAAAAGAGGTTTTCCTATCACTTCAACGACCCCACATTGCTACATTCAAAACACGCCCAACCAGATGCCCAAGTGCAACAGTCTAGAACGGGGGCCCAAGTGCATAACAGTGAATCCTTTTTCCGGAGCCATATATGAAATTCGAAACGGTCTCATTAAAATGTGAGAAACTTGCTCCTATGGCATCATTTTCGAGCCAGCAATGCGAGATTATCGATATTGAGCGAACAACGCTTGAACCAATGGCTTTGACTGGGTCTTTCCCTTGCATCGCCATCAAAACCACTTTTTTGACGCGCAATTTCGAGCGGCTGCCCCAACATGGCTCAATGTATTCCTAGCCCGTACTTTTGCCGTAATATTGACTTTGCATGTCCAATGATGAACAATGTAAATTGTTTCAAGATGAAAAAGATAATGAAAAGAAAAGACTTTCGACAAAGATAAAGTGAGAAAAAGTTGGTTCTCCCAGCAGCTGAATGAATTAAAGCTGAACATCAAGAATCTGGCTTAAAAAGGACTAGGGGTATCGATAAAGCCCAGAAAGTGGTGAACCCTTTCAGATTGTCACAAAACAAATGACAAAATAAATAAGAACGATCTACCTACCAATACTACAACAACCAATGGTCTCCCAATAATGCTAACTAAATATCCAAGTCAAGACAAAGAAATTCATCTAAAAAAACATCAAAGCGAGAAGAATGAAGAAGTGCTAAGAAAAATATCGACCACTCACATGGAAAATGGCAAAAACGGTGTTAGTATAGGTGTTACTACTCGCCTAAAAACTAACTGAGAAGCGGAGTGAGTCTCTAGCAGCATCGAAAGATTCTACTAGTACTATCTACTGCGAATTGGCTCGCTACCAATTTCCTCTGTAACAAGCCAAGCCGACTGAAGTGCATAACGAATAAGAAACCGCTCGCAAGCTATGCAGGACACGTACCATACAGGAATATACTCGAAAGTGATTAGTCCCATGAAATGGTAGTGAAAATAGCTGAAACGAAGTGAAGCATGTATAAAAGTTTTGCACATTGATCCTGAACATAGAGACGCCATTGCAGAAAAAAAAGGACCACCTCTCGTAGTCCCATGGGCAAGCGTCCCAGCGCTTCAAAAACAGACCAGTGCTAAACTCCCAACAATAGCACACTAAAACGTAGATTGCAGCACGTAGTGGAAGAGGAATTATATCCTTAAAACCACAATTGTTAACTTCTCAGCAAGTCAACCGAACATGAATAATCTCATTCATACGCATAGGAGAGCCCTGCGTTCTTTGAGAACAAAACACCGTGGCCTATGAAAATTGAGATTGCTTATGTGCTACAATGAAGCAAAGAAATTATTGAGCTGCATATTTCTAAAAGTGCGTGAAAAAGGCCTACCATACCAACCTAATTTTATTGTCAGATAGCTCCACTTCAATTTTGTTTTGTCATAAACAAAGGTAAAGATGACGGATGAGACCAGATTCTAATTCTAAACTAGGCCATCGGCCCAAATTGGAGCATAACTCCCTCCATGTGGTTGTGGCAGATATTCTATTCAGAATAAGCCACAGAAACAGTCATCCATACCTTGAGTATCAAATAAAGCTTCTCCAACAGTAAAATTGACAAGCCGTACACGAAGAAAATATACATTGAAGTTACGCCAATCAGCTTGCGATTTCCATGTTCAACAGCCTCCCATGTAGCAGTGAAGCATACCTGGAAGCATATGAACTTGCCAATCAAAACTATCACAAAAATAGTGAGAAATAGTGCATTGGCCACTCATAACTCCACCTAAAAGGATCATGCTGGCTTAGCATAAAGACATGAAAAGATGTCTGTGAAATAACATACTTAAAAGCGGGCTACTGGCTGAGTATGTATTCGATTATGCTGCAGATTCACAGCTAAGGCCTTTTTGAACATTCACGCTAATTGAACAACATTAACCCTTACCTCTGCTGCAAAGCCAAGCAGGCCATATAGGAAAAGGCGTTCAAAAATATTCCACGGGCGATGAAGAACTGCTACTGTCATTGTACTGGTCCTGCAATACGAACACTTGAGAAGAATTCCATAGCAACTATTACCGTTATTGAGGATGCAAGAATTGGGGAAAGTACTATGAAGGAAGGCAAAACATCAGGTGCGAACACAAACCAATCGAAATTTCGGAAGGACAGGACTTCTGCCCCCAAAAGGTCACAAAGTTCACTGAGATGCTTATTTTTCAATATATTTTATGGTAGGGAATGTTTTCACCACCAAATATAACAGCTAGCTTCTCAAGCTGCTGTCACTACACGAACGAAAAATGAGGTAGTTCAGAGATTCATTTAACAGGAGAAAAAAAATATGGTTGAAGAGATCGTAAGAGGATTTTAACAATAAGGGACCCACAACACAAAGCAAATAATGTTGATTTCGTAACGCCCACTTTTTTCGTTTTCACCAAGAATGACTCAGAGTTAGCGCTGGATCACCATGGCATTCCGACTATCAACGGCTTCCACGACGCGAGTTATGAGGAGTAATTGCTGAGACGTCTAAACCATTGCCCTCTGGAAAGAAGATTCGGTACTTGTTCCGCCCTTCTTGAAAGGTTGGAAGGTCTGAACATCAACGATACTTCAGCATAGAACTGAACACGCAGAAAGCTTAAGATCTTGAGTAAATCAAAAACCACATTCATTTCATTAATCGTAAACAACAACGAACTTCATCCTCAATTGTTCACTATGCTGTTTTGGTACAATATACCACCATCGTATTAGAATGACTACGACCCAACTACATATAGGCCCCGAAGAAAACGAAGTCGCGATTAAATAAGTGGTACCATGCATTCTCATTCAAACAAGGCAACATGAAATACAAGCGATAGGATCTACTATATAAAATATTAAAGGGAAAACAAGTTCAAATCTCTACAGACTCTGGAAACTATTTCATTACATTTAACGGAGAAAACAATGACCACTAAAATTCCGAGCTAATAAGCTCATATATCACAAGTAAAAAAGTCCGAAAGCGATTAAGTAATGGGAAGGTGCTGATCTAAGAACTACTTAGAAATAGGGTAGTCTTGTGCATAACTAAGAGTTCGATTAAGAAGTCCCGCTCAAAAGGAAGTGATAAATATGATGGCTCCGATTCGTGAACAGCTATTCAGTCTAGAATTCTTTCCAATAAAATCTGTATGACTTGAATTGACTACGTTCTCACCATTTTGAGTTTTAAAGTCATAAAAACGCCGAATTGATGAAGTTGACACATTTCCTTGCCTAACACCGAATAGCTACACATATTGCAGATAAGACGGGCTTTTGCTCTTTTGGTGAAATAAATAAGTATCACAGCTTCACCTTAGGAAATGTCATAAGCGAAATTGATAGCACGGAATATTTACAATCATGATACGTTACAGTAGATCCACACAATTATAATGTCTGTATTTCACCGATGCATTGAGTGCAATGGAGGTTGTCCACAGCACTTGGATGAGGTGGCTTCTGAACAAATAGATCCTCGAAAATAAACAACGAATTGATCGAAATCATGGGTACAGTAAGAAGAATTGCGGGCGCACTCGCGTCCATTTTATGCGAATGTCGGGCGAGTAGAAGAAAGAATGACCTTAGAAAAGGTTCCGCGACCTAGCACGAGGTAATTAAGGTCACTCGGTGGCGGCGCAAACGCCAATTTTTCTGACCTTGTCCATTTCCCTCAAACCCAACCGAAAATCCGAAATAGTAAGTGCTTATAGTTCTTGTAATTGCTAAATCAACTTACACTGATATCAGTGATTATCTGCAAGATCCTCCGCACCGCAGCATCCGTCTCCGGCACGGAACTTGGCGTAGCCGCTCGTTGCGTTTTCTCCATCTCTGACTGCCCGTTCATTTCCTCTGATCCCACTGACTCACTTCGACCTTCTTCGCTTGCCCTGTTCTCGTCTACAGAATCCATAGACGATCGTGGCGGCACCTATGGAGCAAACTTTCAATGTGATATAAGTTGGATCTTATTTCAGTCAAAAGTTAGAACCTCCATCTCTGAACCGTTCACAATCACATCCTCATCTCCACTGAACTCGTCTACTGTACTATGGCTGTATGACCTTGCCACCTTCCTTTTCGGTCGTTTAGCATGGTTTGAATGGGACCGATCTTTGATTTCGTATTCCTGTATTGCTTCGATCTAGGTCGGAAGCTTTAGTTTCAAATGTATATGATGATCAGCTAGTACCTCAAGCGAAAAGGGTGAGAAAATAATGTTGATTCACAATTCACAGCAAAATTCACCTTCAACGCTCCAGTTCGTGCAAGTACATCCATGAGTGCCTGTTGTAGCTCTTTGCATCTGAAAAACGAGCACAAGCAGAATGGTGGCAGTGATCCGACAGTAAAAGGTAGGAAATATTCGAGGTGGAAAAGTAAATACCTTTCCAATGTACGCATCCTGTCTGTTTCCATTGCTGCCAGCTGTTCATCTTTGGCACGTAATCGTTCTCTGATCAAACGACGTTGATGTTGATAGAGTATTACATGATCAGCAATAGTGTCGTTCTCGAGCTAAAGTAGGGATAAATAACGAAATTAAAGCTTTGCAAAGCGAAGTACATTGCCTTGCATACTACATCAAAAAGAAAAGGATGAGATCGCAAGAAAAAAGGATTATGGTGACGATGAGCCAAGAACAAAGAAGTTGCGCATTACCTGAGTAGAAGTAAGGTGTAGGAGGACAAGCAGTAAGGAGTTCAGATTACTTAAGTGTAATGAAGGGGTGAAAGAGGAAGGAGAGAAAGGCTCACGAAGAAACCTTAGTCACTTGGCAGTTCGAAAAATGTTCGAACATTAACAATGTTGAGTAAATGTGTGGCTACCTGAAGAATAAATTCACGAGTTTTAGGCCTATAGAACATTACATGGCATTGTAACAACGGACACAGACGGCTTTCGGAAGCACTATTGAGCCCCAGACTTCTCTTTCTTTTCATTTTGCTCCGCCCCTTCCTAATGGCAGCCGAGAGAAAGAGTGCTGCTTTGGTTAATGCTAGGTATAGCATGAAGCGAACACTGTTGGATTAAGCTGCAATCTAGATTCATACGATCAAAAGAAGCGATTTGTTTAGGCTGTGTGACCTTAAATTACTCTCTATCCAAAATCATCTGTCTGGGAGAAAACAGGCTCGGAAAAATCAGCATTATCTTGACCTTAGTCCACTGTATTAACTCCAACATCTGTTTCCCTCCACTACATCACATAGTGAACCTTCAAGGAATGCAAGAATGCAAGTAGACTATACAGCTAAGACAAGTATTGATCAGTGAACTTGAGGAAGTAATCGAAAAAAATCAAAAATGAAGAATCGAACGAGACTGATGATCAAACAATCGCAATAATGTGAGCAAACCTGAAGTTGCATATTGATATGTTCCAAAGAGTCTAATGTTTCGCGAAGTTCCGCATTGCTATACATCGCCTGTGCGAACCGTTTTTCTAATTCTGATCGAGCCCATTCCTCACTACCCACGCCGCTTGACCTATAAAAACGTGAATAGCCCTGCCTTGAAAACAATTTAGTCGAGCAGCCCGAAGAAGAGTTAAAGCAGATGAAAAGGGAGTGAACTGTTTACTTGTTTATCGAGGAATTCTGATCCTGAACTGCATCTGAAGGACGCGGTTCATTCGAAACTACAGCCTCCTGTGCCGTACAGTTGACGCAGCTGCATTTTGCCGCCAGTGATTCTTCGAGTTGCGATTTTTCTTGTAGTATCCTCTCAACATTCTAGAAGTACCAAGGCAGTGAAAATAGCCAATGTCATGCCAATCAGATCAGAACAGCAAACTACCATTCAAAAGTTCAATTTGTGAAATAGAATGTTTGCGTGAAAACCCAAATTGCACCTTGAATAGGACTATATCACGAGATAATTTTTTGGGGAGGGGGATGTAGTGCTTTCCAAACTTCGACCTTACGACAGATTGGTAAATATCTTTGCTGAATGTGTGAAAACGACGAGAGGGTGATTATCAATTTCTTCCGCATTACCCAAGCGACCAGAAAAGAGGAGCATCGGTGTACTGTGGGCTCTACCGAAAGCCTTACCGAATTGAAGTGTCATGGACGCGACAGTAATGAAAAATGTCGAAAGCCGGCGTCGAAGAATCGGTTGCAGACTACCATGGCAGTGTATTTGGTGGCCATCAACCGCAAGTTAACATCAGGAAGATAGTATGCATGATATAGAAAAAAAGTGGCAAGAACCTCACGCCATAAGACCTACAGTAGGGGAAATGTGTCGTAGCCGCGTTATAGCCAGGCAATTGCTTGACTTTGAATATTGGATGAGCAAGTTCGTTGTCAATGCATTGAAATAAAAAATAACAAGGAGTTCAGAAGCATATAAAGTACCTCTCGCAGTTGCTGATTCTCAGCTGCTAACTCATGTATTCGTGCGACGGCTTGACCAAGTTCTACATGAATCGAATTTTGATTTTCGTCTTCTGCATTCTGCCGTAAAATTTGATTCATTTCTTCATTTCGCGTATGACTGCGTCGCAAATCAGCGCGTATCTGGAATATGCTAGCTGAAGCATGGAAGAGTCCCATACATCTGTATCAAGACCACGAGTAAATATTTTGAATAAGTTTTTATGTAAACAATCGATCCAGGGTAAAGGAAAAAGTATTCTAAAAATTCGAAAATTTTGCAGTCTTAATGCTGTAATAAGTCCCTACTTAAGATTATTGGTAAAAAACCTCCGAGTATAAATAAGTTATGAATTGCTATGAAAGAAGCGAAAGAAAAGCATGTCAAAAAGAAGTGAAGTTCATAGAAATCATAAAGCAAAATTTCACCTCTTCAAGTTGCTGATTAGCTAGCTCAAGCTGTGTTTCTAACATTTGCTCGCGCTCACGGGATGCTTCTGAAAACATGATTCGATACAAAACAAGGTCCGCATAACAAAACTGTTGGCAAAAACAGTAAGGGCCTCGACAAGAACCAGCTGTTATTTTTCATTGTTATTACCTGCAGCATTTTCGGATCGGTTTCGTTCCGACGATTCCTCCCAATCCTCGCGGGATCGGGATGGCTCAAGGGACATAGCCGGATGTAGGACCTCTTCAAGAGCATCGTTTCTACCAGATGATTGCAGCTGAACTGATCCGGAATCGGAATGTGAAACCTGAAAACAAACAAAGAATCGCAAGAAAAGTAGTGTATAAAAGCATTAATCCATAAGTTCTCATTGAGTTCACAATAAAAATAAGTTTTACCTCGTTGTCGATCCGTTTCATAAGTTCTTTCACCTGGTGCTCTGCTGTTTGACGGGCTAATTCGGATTGAAGTTTCTCTTCAGTGAGTGCCACCAATCTAAAGTAGAAATCAGATCTAACGAATCAATCTCGCTTCTTAATCCTATAACAGTAATAGTTCTTCGCTAGAAAATGTAATATCTTCAACTTTAAGTTACCACACCCAACCGTTTTAAGGCAACCTTCATTGAATCCTTTTTTTTCGAAAGGCAATAAAAAACTTTATCTTTTGGTTTTTTTCTGGACTAGTCGAATCTAGGCTGACTTACCTATCTTCCGTTTCGAGAAGCTGTTCTTTAAGCTCCCTATTTTGAGCGACAGCGCGTGATACGGTAGCTTTCTCGTTTTGTAGTTGTTCAGAGAGGGACAACAGATCCTGTATTTGATGATATATTTTACGGCGCCAGCTATTGCTAACAGATGAACTACTTGAAAGCAACTCAACATTCGAACAAAAGAGTTCTGAGCTGAAGAAACAGTAACTTTACTAACCGATCCACTCGCACGTGTTTCAGCGGATCGCTCTTCGAGTAGTCGCAGACGCATCTGAAGTTCGCTTATCGTTTGCTCGCGTTCGAAAATGAGCTGATCCTGGAAAGGAATAGTCCAAAAATAGATGATCCTAGGTTTGAAGTTTGAGCGATCCACCTTATTTCTCAACATCGAATCTACCACTTTCCCCTCTTCATCGAATTTCTGCTGCCATTCAGCATCTGCTCGTCTTTTTGCCTCGTTGACTTTATACACAACGTCTTCCTCGGTGAATGTTATAGCATCTGACTCCTGTTGTCCACTGTTTAAAGATGGTATAACCGGTCTATATTGATTTTGTTCCTGAACCACAAAACATTAAAAGTATCAGGTCGAGAAGTCGCTCGTCTGAATGGGAAAAACAACACTATGAAAAAATGAAGAAAAACATAAATCAATGAGTGGTAAAAAACATAGATTAAATAGATGAAAGAAAATACAGTGGATCCTCCACCTTTTGTAAGACAGAAACGTCGTTTTCCAATTCCTTGACCCGTAATAAAGCTGCATCCCGCTCAGATGTTGCTTCTGCGAGCTGAAATGGAGAGTTTCATGGAACAGACAGTAGTGTGTAGTAAAAAAAACAAAAAAACGTACCTCGCTGGCGATCTTATCGCGTGTGTTTACAAATTCCAACCGACAAAGTTCGTAATGACGACTGAGCTCTTGGCTGTTGTGATGCATCTGGTCTCGCTCATTGGTGAGAAGTCCAACTTGGGTTTGGAGAGCATCAATTCGGTCTTAATGAGACTCTCGTTTGACATATACTGATAATGTCTGAACTAACAAACCACTTGTGATCTGTTATCGGGTAAGTCGAGAATTTCCTTCTAAAATAATGGTTGGGCACATTTTCTCTAGTCTCCGACTTGATAGTAGTGGGCGTCCTCACCCAATAAGAGGTGGTATAAATACAAATACAATAAGGTACAAACTGTTTGGACAATCTAGCTTTCTATTCTTTCTTTGGGAGTCGTAGTGGCTCGTAAATAAATCTGACCGAGAAGGCTTATCTCACCATGCAATGCTTTGATAGTGCCTTCGTCGCTGAAGTTATTCACAATTCCATGAGGACCAAGCTGCTTCAGATAGATTTCTTTCATATGAAGTTCCTTCCTCACTTGCTTCAATTCCGATTCGAGCACTTCCTTCTCACGAGCTATCGCTTTGAGGCGAGCCTTCAAATGTTCAATAGAATTCTCGAGTTTCTAATGGACTGGGCCGTGACCTATGACAGATTACCTTGATGAGTAAAGAAAAACACTCACTTGCGCCTCACTTCTTTCATGTTGAACGGTTAGAAGTTGCGCTTGAGCGTTTGCTTCACTTCTTCTAAGGCCATCAAGTTCAATGCTGCGAGCAGATAGAAGATGCTCACATTCCATCAAACGTGCTTGCAGCTTTTTGGATTCATCACCACAGACAGACTTCATATTCGCCGACAGCTGGAAGGAGACCAATCCCTATTCTCTATGGAGACCCTCACCATGCCAACACGGAACTCTTCAGAGAAGGAAGCTTACGCTTTCATTTAGGATTCGTTCTTGCTCTAAATCATTCTTTACATTGCGCAGCTCCGACTGCACTGACGTTTTCTCCTCAACAAGCACAGCCAACGCCTAGAGCACGAACATTGGAAATACAGCATATTGGAAATTTTGAGTGAATACTTGAGATAGAACTGTCTGGACGAGAACTTACTGATTGGAGCTGTTGAATCTGCTTGTCAGCATCTGAATGAACCGCGCTACCACTCATGCTTGAGTAAGCCGCATGTAACTGGGTGTAGTGCATGCGCTTAAATCATTTTAAATTAAGGTTAAATCAATTACGCAGAATGTAAAGCTGATTGCTGACACGATATTGTTGTAAATTGATATAGAGTCTTTATTCCCTGAGCGAGTTTTAAAAAAATTGAACCTCGTGAATACCACCCATTAGTATGAAAAAACCAAGCAAGTTATCGGCTTACCAGTTGTTCTAACTGAGCTGATACTTGTTCGTAGGCCGCCATGGCTGCATCACGTTCATGTTGCAGTTGAGATCGGCCTATATCCATAGAAGGCTGCTAAAGAAATACTTCCCTGATATCCGCTTGGAAGATAATTATTACACAAAATAGCAACGAACCTGTCCAAGATTATTGTAAGAAGAGTTGGGGTTCTGAACGCCGTTGCTGTTAGAATGTGGCAATACAGGAGAGCTAGTACTGCTAACACCAGCATCTAACGCGAAACTCTTCAGAGGATTATTCGAAGTCGAGAGCGCAGGAGACGAATTCGTTGCAGAATCCTCCGTAATGCTTATGACGTAGGGTTGCTGAAAATTTGAGGTCGTTTCACCAAACATCTTGTGGAATCAGGGAAAGAAAAAAGTTATCTAAATATGGGGCTATGCTAAGATATAAACAAAAGAAAACTGTAAAAGAATTGGTACTATACTTGTTGATATAGCTGTTCGGAGGTACCGTTATCGACTGAACCAGGTGAAAACATGCTGTTCTCGTTATTGTTGGCTGAAAATATCCTTAGTTAGAACAACAGTATGCTAGAAATGGGTTATAGTGCTAGCGGGTGGCAACGAATTGAAGTGTGGCTAACGTCAAAGTAAATATATTTATGCTCCCCAGTGTATAGATTAATAGCGCACAAATAATGAGATGATCCAACTTTGTTTCAATGATGATGATCTACTTTCTATAAAAGTTCCAATCAGATAACCCTCTAATACACAGGAGTTACTGCCGCCCTTGCAAAAAAAGCTTTATTGACCTAGTGAGCTTCCGTTTGTATAGAATCGTTGAGCGAAAAACATTTTGGTGAAGAGAGAAGAACCCCGATCGGCCCAATAATAGAGTCATGCCAGAGTATTCAGAGAAATAGCATTAAGCCCGAAACTCTTGAGAAAAAATCATTAGCAATCAACGGACCACTATGTGATAGGTTGCTGTTGACGGACAATCGGCCGGTGTTCGCATTATGGTCAGCAGTCGACGCTAGACTGGGAACGGGAGACGTGTCGAATTCTCGTTGTCGTCGAGCTTCAAACTCTTTTAGCTGAAAAGGCAAAGTAGAGAATGACGTTCAAGAGTGGAGCTGGAAACAATTACAGCACTATATTCATCACTCCTATTAATGACAGCTAAAGAAAACCACCGCCTGCAGCCATTTTAAAGTGGCTTCTCATACACTGAATGAAACAAATAAGGAGGAAAAACTCACTTTTTTCTTCGCGATCGCTAGTTTGTCGGCGCGACTCACCGACTCAGACATCGTTCACGAAAAAAAGGTATCTTTACCAGTCACAGTCCACGGTATACTGAGCGCAACCGACCTAGATCGTAACGCTCGTTAAAGGGTACAGTAGAATACAATAACAAGAAAGAAATGCATCATAAAAAAAGGAAAGCGATAGGAACATTCAGTAGTCGTGGTAAGAGTGACTGCAGTGCATACGGGGAATAAAAGGAACTGGAAAATCGGCTACTTATCAACCATACATAATCCAGAGTTATTGAGAAAAACCAATCTCAACTATAAATCAAAAATAGTTCCTGACGTGGCACGCTTTCGATTAATTGGAAAGTTGTGCAACTTCGCGTGATTTGCGCAGAGTAGCTGTGGTACCGTATCGAAAATTTGCTTTGCTCATCAACCTTTACGATCCCTCGCCTTCCTTACCACTGTCCTCCACAGGATTAAAAAGATAACTCGGTCGGTATAATGGATACCAGTGGGATCGCCCAGCTGACGCCGGGCTCTGCTCCTTCTTGAGGCAAAGGTACTTCGCCCGAAAAACAACGAATTGATGACATTTTCCCTCTTTTTCGTGGGTTATTCCGGTATATCGCTGAGCGAGAGTATAGATTATCAAATGTCTTTGAATATCTAGCTCCTTTTCTCTACGGTCACATAACCAAATAAGAATCCAGCATTATTAGCGGTCAGAAAAGTTTTGCCAAGGATGATATCAAAGCAGAGAGAAACCGTGATTTTTCACGGAATCGCAAACTTTGCTGAGTAGTGGTCGTAAGCAAGAAGTGGACCAAATTTCATAATCGGTCCCTATCAGTGCACTTACTCTTCTTGTCGAATGAAACATCTCAAAAAGTTAAAGCTAGATCGTGAATAACAAAGGCGCTAACATTTCACTGGTGAGTGGATCTTCTTCTTTAAGGCCTCTTCTATCGTCAGTGTTCTCATCCTGCCCCCTCTACCTCTATTGATTTTGCTCTCCAAGTCCACGGGATCAGAAGTTATGGATTTTCGCCCGGACATTTATTTCGCGCACACCCCGCCTCCAATGGGCGGGGTCCGTTCCTTCCACCTACGATAAGTGTTCCCATCCTGCCGCCTGTACTCCTGCCAAGTTTGAAAGCCCTAGGGCCAAATTGATAATTTCGGTGCAAAACCCCGCCCTCTGTGGGCAGTGTCCGGTCTCGCCCTTCTACCATAAGTGTTCCCATCCTGCCCCCGTGCTCCTACCAAGTTTGAACGCTCTAGGTCCATGGAGACAGGAGTTACGAATTTCCGGTCGGATACACACACCGACACACGCACACACAAACAAACACCCAAACAAACACACAAACGCAGAGATTAACGAGTTATATAAAGTAGGATTTCAAGATTTACCATCCTAGAAATCAAAGTTTGGGAAACGCAAAGTCATCCAGTGCGCACGGACCCAGTAACATCAGCGGTTCGGCGGGTTTCTAGGCTCAGTATTTTCATTCTCCTAGGAATATCTCGCTCCAAATAGGCAACTTCGGAAAGGCCATAAATAGAGTGTTCGCCTGGGAATGATTGTTATAGAAATTCCTAGTTGAGATGAAGGAAGCAGTTTTTTTACAGTCATGAATTTCTTAAAGGCACAGTTCACGATAGAATGGTTTCGGATATTTTCACATGGTATGAAATCGGGGCCCCCTCTGATACCATATGTGCCGAAATGAGGACGTAAAACGACTGGATAGGGCACAATAAGGGCCCAGTGGGGGCGGGAGACCTCCTGCCCGAATACTCCCCTTAACCGCGGTTTTCGGCTGTGTAACTCGTCCAACCCTCCCTTTTGCTTATTTTTTGAACCTTTATATTTCTGTTATTCGTCATTTTTCGCGTCTTCTGCTTCGCCATTGTACTACTGTACGCCAGTCAAAAACCGAATACCTCAAAATTATCGTGAACTGCGCCTTTAAGTCAAGTGAGGTGAGATGAGGAAATACTCTACGCAGACATGGCATTTTTTCTAATGAGACTATCTCTCCAGATCCAAGTTTTTCAAATGGGGTTGACTGACTTCCGCTCGAGCTTGTCTTGGATTCCTCTGAAAAAAATCACTTCCCTTCTGGATTTGTAGGTGTCCACGTCATAATGCTCTCCTTTGTCCTAATTACTGTGAGGTGAAGAGAAGAAGAACCGTTCAACGGGGGTTCGACCATCCTCCGTTGGACGGTACTTCCATGGAGCCGTATCCGTGAATCTGGCTTTTTTGTTGGTGTGCATGAAAACTTAGAAACTTCTGTTGACTTCTCGTTACCTTCGAAGTTTCAGTTAGGTCCATTGTGCCAGCTTTCTTCATTACCTAGTCCACACTTCTTCTTAAGGTCCAAATTCATTCGATCAGTTCGAAGTCCCAATGAACGGGAAGGGACTCTGACTCTGCCTAAAAAGGGTTTGTGCTCTGCTGGGCAAACCTTGTTCTACGTGACAAAAGATCCTACTAATTGTAAGAGGTATGAAGGGGTCCTTTTGGATGATAATGTAGTATAGCGTACTTGGGTAGGCCACATATAACAGCAATAATAAGAGTAACAGTAACTGTAACAGAGACGAAGAGGAGGATGGGCATCGGCCATCTGGGCTCCTTTTATGTAGCATTAGCCAGGGGAATGTAGTTCTTAAACTAAGCTTCAAGAAGAAAGGAGGATTGGGATGGGTGAGATGATTAGCTTGTGGGAAAAGCTGAAAACACGCTCACCTCGGCGCTCTTTCCCTTCTGAGGCTTATTGCTAGTTGGAAAATCGTCCAAGACCGTGTTAATTCCTTGTTATCCTAGTCCTAGATTCTAGGCTTCATTAGTTTTCGCAACTTCTATGGGATTATCCCTGCAAAGGGAGCCTGAGGAAGGATCGGTCAAAAGAGCGACGCGACGGTTTGTTAGCGAAGGGTGAAATGCTGATGCTCACTGTGTAATGTCGCCGTAGCATACAGCAATCCAGCTCTACTACAAGTGGCGCCTGGTTAGGAGAAATGATCAGAAATGGTAAAAGATGATACGTCGATGCTGAATTGTGGAACTGCGTAAAACCTTGCTGATACCTATGAGCAGCCCTTTTAGCTGGCATTGATGATAGAATTCTCACTGCAGAAGAGTTTTCATAACAATGAACTGGGAGTAAACTAAGTAATGAAGTACGAAGTTCCATAAAACATGGACCAACAAATGGAAGCACTGTTCTGCAAGACCACATCGTCAAAGAGAAGGGAGAGCCGGCTTCAGGCGTTCGATCCAAGTGGTAATTCAATAGATGGTGACAATTACGTCTAAATCTCATTTTTCATTCAAGCCGTTTGATTCTTTTCACTTTCCCTTGAGCCACTCTTCAGCTGCCTCTAGGCATTTCTTAATGAGGCTTCTAGCTACTGTACTATAAAATTGTATTTTGCAAGTTTTGATGGGAATATGGTGCAGTGGCAAGTGGCGTACTATCATCTACGTATGGGCCGAGGATCGAATAGCGATTTGATGCTCACCGAGACCTATCAAGCCTTCCATCTCCCGTTTTCGATATA